TCCGAACAGACATCAGCATTGCATATACAGACACAACTTCTCTTCTTTACACGAACAGGCACAATGGCTGCTCGTACAGACACACCTTATTCATGACCTACACAACTGCTGGCGAACAGGTAAGTCTTTTGACAATGCCCTTTGCTTCAGGATGTGCCCGTTGGTAGAGAACTTGGACTCTTGACCTGCTTTTCACGTTTCTGAGCCCTGGCGAGATACCTTTTCAGGCTGCTTTACTTTTACATGGCCCACGTTGCTTAGTTACAAGGCCTGAGGCCTACATTGGGTGAAAAAGGCCCTTTCACTTCCTTCCCTCAAGGCCAAAGGACCCCCTGAGCAGCATCGAATACTCCTTTTCGGGACGACTGACTGTTAGGTTTACATAATACTTCTGGACTTCTCAGTCTACATGAAGTTAGATTGTCAGATAACCAATTAGCCCCGGAAATTTCAAAGAACCTCATGCCTAGATAGGTACCTGCTCTGCCTGCCCTTCTTGTCTCTGCTTGGTTAATGGCGCTCTCTGAGTTTTGCCAGTTTAACTGCATGAGCTAAAGTTGACTGAATGTCGCAAGCTTCTCGCTTGACTAGCGAGTCATGTCTAAGTTTTGCCTTGCTGCCTCGATCTGGATATGGGTTCTTCTGAATGTACGCTTTGTGCCTCCGTTTGCAGATGATTTCAGCCTCAAACATGCCGTTAGTAGCTGCCCATACCTCTTCCCTTGAGTTCCTGTATTGTCCAGGCTGATGCCACAGTGCTCCTTCCATATCGCTGATAACAGTGATAAGGTAAATTTCCTGATTAAGACAAACCACAGTCTCCCGGGCCTGCTTCGGTTAGAGGGGATGTCAGTCCACATGAGGAGTTGGAAGGGCTGATTGGGGAAGGGAGAAGCAAATAAGTGGAATCATAGATCCCTTGCTCTAGCCCCGTATTCTGCAGCTTCTTGGCAGTTGATTAAACAGTGTATGATGTCTTCTTGACCCTGATCGGGGCAGATTACACACCTGTCTGAACTGTTTGGACCCATTTTCTCCTTCTTATGTGAAGTCACTCATTGAATGATAATGCTACATGCACAATTAACCATGTTGACTTCTAATTGCCCTGGAGCATACCACATCCTTATGACTCGCAATGTTCATGGTGAGCATACGGCGACCTTTAGACTCCCAATGTTCATACTGAGCATATAGTATCTAGGACTCCCGATGCTTGGGCCTCTTGCATAAGGGCCTGGAAAACTGTAGGCCCTGAGGCACGGGGTTGGACTCGGGGTCTTGGGCCGCCCCTTCTGAAGGCTGTGAACTTTGATAACCCAGACTGCCAGGCGCTGCATAAAGGAAAGGTCGAAGGGAAGGGGATTCGGGTAAGCAGGGTGAGGTGGCCACACTGCTGGATATTCCGTGCACTCAGCGCCCGATGAGGAAGCTGCGGCGGCGGCAGCGAGAAGGAAGAGGGTGGGCGCCAGCCATAGCCAGACGGCAGGAAGTGCAGTGGTCCTTGGCACACAAAGAGAGAGGGAAAGCAGTGGGAACAAGGCACGTACCTGCTGTTGACAGGGATGTCGCTGTTTGACCAGGGTGTTCAAGTGGCACCCCGCAACTGGTATGTGGACCTGTTGCTGGCATGTAGATAGGCTAGATTTGTAGGAGCCAGGACGTTAGATGGGCGTATGCGACGCCAATAGGGAGTTTGCATCGTCGTTGTGTCGATTATTGAAGGCGTTGGAAGGGCTTTCTTTATCAAAAGACTTTGGTGGATTGTTCATCCCTTCGTGGTGTGAATTTCGGTTGATTTTCTGCTTTTAATTCGGCTCAATTGTGCCTAGTCTTCTGTGAGATGTCGCAATTGGGATTACTGCCGTTCTCATTTGCTTGTTTCCTTGCAATTTGGTATCAGAGCTGGTTCGTCGGCACTCAATGTTTGGCATCGGTGAGTTAGGTCGGTGCACTGCCCCACTTTCTTCTCCATGCCTCTTTCCCTCGCCACCACTGACTTCTCGATGGTCTGTGTGCATCCATGTTTCAAGAGGGTCCAGAGAGTCAACCTTCTAAGTAATCGAAACCATGCCTCCTTGCTGCCTTTCAGGGTGTGGAAGATGCTGATGAGGGGAAGGCTCTCTGCTAGGGAGTGGCATCCCTTCAGGCGAATTCGCAAGTCCTGTTCTGTCACCCATCCTCAGGTTCCTCCGAGTCTCGGACCATAGGTACTTTACTTTCCCAACTACTTTTCCACCCAAGAAAGTCATCTTCTATCCTTTCCAAAAGGGGTCCAGGGATGGTTGTCTTCATCTTTCAGCCAAGGGTTGCAGAAGACAGGTTATCTGAGCACTTCTTTATTGCACGGGGAGCCGTGTATGTTGGGCAATTGACGGCGCTAGGCCTTCAGGATCGAGGCCCACTATGGGCCAGGTTTGGGGATGGCTTGGCCTGGTAGTCGATTGCTCTTTCTTGTGTATCTGCCTGTTTCGATTGTTCATTCTTGCCAATTTCTTGGCCATCGCACAGAAGTGTCCCACCATGTTATTGGGGGTTCTGACTGGCGCCGACAACCTAATGCTATCCAACACTATCCTAGCCTAGCGGAGGTACTGTTTCAGTAGTAGTTTAATAACCCACTTCATTTGCAGTGCTTTTGCTTCCTGTGGGGTCTATTATTCCCAGGCCTCTCTCCTGTGGTTTGTGATAATGTGCTGGCAGGCTACCTTGTTGATGCATGCAGATCTGTTAGGGTCGCCTGTCCATAAAAAAAAACATCTGACTCTGGCATTAAGTGTCTTAATGCCGTGGTCGGGGGGCAGATCAGATGGATGTCATGTACCATAACGTAGAGTAAACCAACGTGTTAACAATCAGTGCTCTTCCTATCAGTGATGCCTGCGCTCCTTTGCATGGAACCAAGTGTGTAATTGCCTTGGCAAACAGGTGTTGACTCATCCCTCGCCAAGTACCATCTTCATTAACCATGATCCCGAGGTACCTTAGTGCCTGTTCACTTGTGAACCATAACGAGAGGGGGGTTAAACCTAAGCTTTGAGGGGGAGGCCCATCTCCTAACCACCAACCTTCGTTTCTGGCCCAGTTGAATTTTTTTTTATTTTTTTTTTTTGACCATTTCTTGATGTAATAGATTTATGCATGTCATCCTTGAGCAGGGGCCATTTCATCGATGGCCCAGCTAACCGTGATGTCAATCTTCTCTGTATCATTCCAATTTTAAAGGTTGTCCCGAAGGACGGCCCAGTTGAATTCTTCGTCTTTTTTTTTTTTTGGGTCACAAGACAGGTCCTTCTGGACCTGGCTCGATATCCATTCTCAGGACCGTCAGTCCGGTTCCTTTTCCACTGGCAAGTCATGAATTTACGGAACAACTCACTCGCGCTTCCTCCCGTGTGGCCGAAGGACCCCTGATCAGCAATGATTGCCACTAATTGGGGGATTGACTGTCAGCTTGCCATTTTCGCACCTCTCTTAGTCAACAAAGTGCAGTATCCGTTTTGAACAGCTTAATATCTGATCCTTGGTACATCGGAGTCAGGCCAAAAAGAAAGAAAAAAGAGACACCTGTTTCGCTGCATAAATGTACAGCTGAAGAACGAGGCCCTCAACCTGGAGGAATAGACGCAGGACGTGCACAGATGCACAGTCACAGCAAAATTACTCTGATCCGGATCCTTCTTATATTGATCTTTGCCCTCTTTATGAATCCCAGTTTGTATCAATACCTATAGTGGACCTCCATCGATATACTCCAGAGGATGCTATATGGACTGGACCTGATGCTCCTCCCCTAGTAAAAGTCTCTACAGCTAGTTGCCCAAATTGAGGACTCCAGATTGCATGAGCAATTGAATGTATCTGTGAAAGGTCCTCTACCCATTTTGGGCAACCAGCTGTACAGACTTTTACTAGGGGTCCTCATTTCGGGACCCCAGATTGCACGAGCAATTGAATGTGGCAAGGGGCCTACATCTTCTGGCATCATCAAAAGGGGTCAAAAGACTCAAGACTTCAATCTGATTTGCACAGACTTACTGAAGTGCCCTCCGAACCGTGCGAAATAGTTGCCCATTACACGGCTCACTAAGTCCACTTGCTTTGAGTTCTCTTGCCTAAAGTGATCAGTTTCCCCCGTGGACTTCCAGGCAACCTCAGGACACAAAGTAGGTGAAGCCGAAGGCCTGACTTTAGTGAGTCCACGCAAGAAGGGACATTGGATCTCTTCCTCAGACACAGCTTCTCCAAACGTGCACGGGGTGATCTTTACACCCATGGGGTGTTTTATCATATACCCACGGGTTGATCTACGGGGTAGAAGGCTGTTTCTCCTCCTCTTGAAGGGAAGAGCAGGGTTCAAACTCCAAGGATGAGAAAAACAGTCTGAAGGCTATCTCTTTGGCTTGCTGAAGATGGGGCTTAGCCTGCAGTTAATCCTCCCAGTTGGGAGCACTCAATGCTGCTGGTGGTTCCCTCAGACGTAATGGAGCGAAGAGTTCAGGGTGACTCTTTTAAAGTCTTTTAAACTTTTTTAAAGTTTTTTTGTATTTTGATGATTTCCTGGTGGGCAAGGAACCAGACTGTTCCTCCCTATAATAGATCAGAGTTTTTCCAAAAAAAAAGGGGAACAAGAAGAGTAAACAAATTTAACAAATCCTTCACACCTCTGCTGACCTGGTTGAGCGAAACCACAGACTTGATGCCATTGAATCCAAGATCAAGGTACACCAACCTGCAAACCAAACATGCAAAATAGAGAATCCACACGGATACATCATGCCAGAGAGCGAAAACGAAAACAGGCTGAAAGCAGAACACTGATAATACTACATGTCATAAAAAGAGTGAAATGTGTGGCTAATACTGGCTATGGACAACTACAGTAACGACAAAACATTTGAAAACACTGAATTCAAAAGGTCTGCAGTTGATGAAAGCCAGTCTGGAGACAGGTCATCACTGCAACAGCAGTTCATAAATATTCGAGCTGCAACAATTCCTCCTCATCATGCTGCGGCCACTGTCTTTGTGTGTTCCACATCTGAGTTGATGAAAGTCACATTTGAGGAAACGCCGCCATTATAAAGAAATATTAGGGCAGCTTCCGCATCAAATATCCCCTTTCTCTCATCATGCCTCGTTTCGTCTTTGTTGTTCCTCCTGTGCCTCTCCATTCCTCTCCTTCTCCTGCCCCTCCTTCCGCAGCTCCCACCCCTTCTACCCCCTGTTCTGGCCCTCCTTCCCCTGCTTCACAACCACCAGTCGCCCTTTTTCCATCTCCTCCTCCTCTTCCTATCCCCCCTCTTCATCCCTTCATATACGTTTGCCCCAGAAAACTGATGGATGATTGAAGATTGTGTGACTTTCAAAGTAGTGGGTTCCCAACCAACCGTTCAACTGCACCAACCAAGAGGACCTAGAGTCTATCCTTGATGCATTCACACTGGGAATGACAAACAGATTTGATCATGCCACACAGTGGATGTAAGCAAAGAGGCTGGTGAAAGGGAAGGATTACAATTGCAGATTTGCTAGGATAGATAAACGTAAACATGTGGCATTCAGCAGAGATTGAACGCATATTTGACGATATATCTGTTTGACTATATATAGAAAAATATACATATATGATACATCGTAAAAAACGACGTCAGGGTTCAGCCTCCTGATGAGCCAGTGAAACTCTGACCAAACAGTTTGTTGCAGCCCCTCGTTTGTTCTCCTCTTCCCCCTCTCTGCCTACGGTTTACCGGGCAGTTCTGTTTGATGAGATATTATACCATTTGCACGCAGGTTACTCGTTGAAACCCAAAGAAAGAAAGAAGAATTACCCATATGTGAACATGTGTGCTGAGGTGAACGGGAGCTACATTATCATCGCTTGACATATAGCGACACCTGCTGTTTAGCAATGATACTCTTCAAAGCTCTGTGTGCTGTTCTGCCCTTGGCGCATGTAGTCAACTTCCAGAATGGATTGCACATAGTCCCAAGTGCCTACAAGACCATCTTTGAAATGCCCTGTTGGTCGCCATAAGATGAGGAACATGTCCAAGACCCCAAGCACAGCAAGTGGGATAGCAATGCGGCAGGCACCCTTCAAGAAGACCAAGGTCCAATGTTACATATTGGATTCCATAAATAAATTGGCCGCCGCTCCTGCAGGGAGGGAGGACCAACAAATACCAGTTGGAGTGTGAGCTTGAAGCAGAGGGCTGCAAAATGTCCACTTGAACAGTATTGTACAAGTGGAAAAACCCTGGAAAACAAAGATGATGTAATTGAAACAGGCAAGGGCATTCTGAAAACAATATGGATTGCAGCAGAGGATGCAGACAGCCAGAAGGTGGTGGCCGCACTACCAGGGAAGACCATGGTGAATTGGTTGATGGAGGCTGAGGAACAGAAAAGACAATGTGATAACATTCAGCGAGATGAACCACATGGACTGCATGGGGATACTAAAGGCTACAGGCTTCCATCCACATTGTGTATTATCAATCCTCAGGTGATCAGGTGATTGGAAGTACTGTTAGCACATGTCAATGCAACTAATCCTGAAAGTAATGAAAGTCAGGATGCGCACATGCTGATGTGAACACCTCATAACTGTTGGGACATGTGTCCCAGACAAAAAACAAAACATGTGGGGACAACTGCCCACAGATGCTTTGATGCAGGTGGTTTGGCAAATTGGCACCCAATATTTTCTCTCTGGCGTCTGAACCCTGACAGGCCATCTGCGCATCAGCACTATGGGAAGTCTCAATTTGTATGTTTTTCCCACCTCCTGACATCTCATCCAATGCTGCAAACAACAAGAGGAGAGGTTGAGCACGGAAGTGGTACACAGGAGGTCGTGGGATCGATTCACCACGTCATCCATTTGATTCCCCACAACCCCCTGTGGTATGCTTCGGGTTCACTGGCTGAGAAAGTCAGCTTGTCCCTCCTGGCTGGTAGTGGAAGTTGCATTTGACTTTCCAGCTCGTGCCAGGTGTTAGGAGCTTGGGTACTGCTCCCCGCACAGAGCAGAGTTAGGTAGGTGTGGACCCATAACCTTAGGATAGCTTAGCTTAAGGGTAGTCCTTGTTTCGTACGCTTCGGGCGTTGTCTAGTTTGGTTTGACCCTAAACCCAAGTAAGCCAGTTCAGTTGGTCATTATTTCAGCATAGATATGGGTAGCTACTAGCTAGTGTGAGATGTATTGTGAGAAGAAAAGAGCATAGTCAAATATACCACTGTCCCCCATATGAGGAGAAGACAGCTGTATTTTTTCTTTAAAAAAAGAAAAAGAAAAAACGAGATGGTATCTAGCACAGCAGAAATCAATTCACACACCTATGGACAGCACAGCGACTCAGCAAAGACATTGGGATGGGATTACTGACCTGGCAAAGGTCAATGGACATCTGCAAAAATAACGAAATTGCAATCACAGAAGTACTAGGGCAAGTGAAATTGTAGATGGAGGTTCTCTTATGTGAAAACACATAAACAGGTGAAGAAAGAGACAGAGATGCAAGGAATATGAGCGAGAGCGATAGACAGAAATCCAAGTTGCAAAATCATGAAGTAGTCCAGATAGTCATGTACCAAGCAGAGAGCACAATGCACCAAGATACCATCCAAATGAGAGCAATACAATGAACTCAAGCGCCAATGCCGACACTCTCTGGTCACACCAACACCGTATCCAATGTCGCTCCTACTGTCTGCCAGTGTCTGGCGCCGAGCGCCCAGCCTACACTACTCGGCCTATCTATCCTGTCTACGTTCATGCGACTGGATCACATCATAGTTGAAGACCATTGTACGTGACGTAATCACCAATGCAGACCGCCAGCACACACCAGGTACATTCTCTCTCCTCCCCTCATCACACCATCTCCCTTCTGCATGCACCTCCTACCCGAAAACTACCATCGCCATCACCTGCTGCCGCACGCTCGGCCCGGCTATGGCCCCAGTGCGCCCGCTGTCACTGCAGCGCCCTCTACCTCTTGCGCCCGCGTGCGTCCTGGCCTGTCAGCCTAGCGCAGCTTCGCATGGCGTAGCAGCAGCGTGGCCGCATTGCCTGCTCAGGCCAGAATGCCTCTGCCTGGGCAGGGCACTTTCCTTTATGGAAAGTGTGGCCCTGTGTTTGGCTGCATGGGCCTGGCTGGACGAATTTCCAGTAGCTTCCAGCCGGGCACCAGTGTCTGCGCCCAGCCCCCCTTTTGCCGTTACGGGCCTGGACCTTTTACAGTTGGACACATCCAGGCAGCCCTCCAGGGTCCAAGTGTTTGCTGCATTCTCATTGGCTTGCGGTGAATGTGTGACGACACTGCCGCATTCTCATTGGCCCACGGACAGTCCATGATGGGTCGGCCTCTCACAGCCTGTGCCCAGGGCGCAACCTCCTGAGCCCTGGGCTCAACTGTACAGTGCAGCTCCTGCTTCTGGAAAGAGCCTCCGAGGGCTCACGTTGCTCGGTAACCAACTGGCGTGCTGCAACTGTCTGATACCCCACATTTGGAAAATGTCGAAAGTAGGTCTCACTCACGTGGATATTCAGGCCCGCCTTCAGTTAGGGCGGGCACAATGCTTGCTGGGGGCCACAGCCCAAAACACTTGCATGTCTGAAAGGGTCCCGTGTGGGCTCAGTCCTCGCAGAGTGAAAGGAAAAAATGAACATCTGACAGCATATGTCCCTCAACTCTGGCATATCCCGGCGGCTTGCACATGCCTTGCCTGAAAAAAGAAACTGCAGGGAGGGATATACAATGAGATGAATGAGGTAGTGGAATCACTCTCTCTCTTGCTCTCAAAATGCTCACACCTGGCTATGCCCACACCGATGAAGGAACCATGTGGCGATCTGTAATCCCATTTTTCCAGCCAAGCGCCAAGCTCACCATCACCTAGCGAGCAGGTAAGTGCCAAGCTGACCCTCTCCAAAGCTCTTAGGGCCTCTCTGACGACAGCCTTAACCTCATTTTATTCCCCTGAGGTCAACACTAGGCCCCTCTGCACCATCCTACAGGTGAACTATGGTGGCCACCTATGCCATCATCTCCTGCCATGACCACTGGCTATAGTGGCCAGCACCTCTTCTAAGCCTCTACAAGCACAGCTGGATGGTGGTACAGTACTCAAGAAGTCATCCAGCAACACAACGGACTATATCTGCCTGCCTAGCCTACCTCCCCGCCGTATACAGTTTCCACTCTAAGCCGTGGCCGTAATCTTAGCCTGAGGTTCAAAACCAATCGAAGGAAGAGCAGCGCAGATCTCAAACTACGTGCGCACCTCTCCACAAGCACAGCTGGATGGTGGCGCAGCACTCGAGAAGTCATCCAGCAACACAACGGACTATATCTGCCTGCCTAGCCCACCTCCCCGCCGTGTACAGTTTCCACTCTAAAGCCACGGCCGTAATCTTCGCATGAGGTTCAAAACCAATCGAAGGTAGAGGAGCGCGGATCTCAAACTACGTGTGCACCTCTCCAGGGGCACCCGGACTAAGGTGTGGATTTGAGACCAATGCTTGGTTACCTTGTGAGGGCCACCAAGCTCTGTCACTACAGGTCACTGCTTTTGACAGAAGGCAAAATTCAAAGGCATGCCAGGTCAAGATAGCTGAAGACTAGAATGAGGTTAATCGGGATAAGAGAGGACATAGCATCCTCACAAAGACAAATAATAGCAGGACAAAAGTGTGCCCAGCTAAGTAATCTCATGAGTTCCTGA